CACATGAAATACGCGCAAACTTGCGCATTTTAAAGAGCATCATTTGCCCTTTCAAATAACATACAGTGAGGTATCAAACAAGCATGTACATTTTTATTTTATCTAAGATTTTTTAAGTTTTTAATTCTAAATCTGAACTCTTAACCCATTACCATTTATTATATTATTTTAACTCATCAAAATGTCGAACTCCACAAATTTAAAGCCTAATCAAGGAATGAAAATAATCACAACAGGTTTGCAAATTGAAAACTCAGGACAAAAAGTTACCTATACGGAATTATCAAAAAAGACAAATTTCAATAAAAGAACTTGTAAGCTATGGTGGGATCGAAAAGATTTATTGTTGACAACAGGAACATTATGTGATCGTAAAAAAGGAAGATCAGGCCGACCAATTCATCCATCATTTTCAAACAAACAAAAAATCGATCATGCAATTACCGTATGTGAAAATTTGGGAATTGGACAGCATTTGCCAGATGCTGCGAAAGAACTAAAATGTGGAAAAAGGACCTTACAGAGGCATTTAAAAAACAAAGTTACATGGAAAAAACCACCAAAGAAAGAAACAAATCATAATAATTATGTTTCTGCTAAAAGACTTAATTTTGCTCGAGCGTTGTTGAATAGACGTGGCAAATTAAAAAACATATTTCAAAACATTACATTTCTTGATCACAAAAAAACTTATGCATATGGTCAAAATTGGACACATTAACGCCAATGCCGAAGAAAAGGATCAACAAAACCATTAAGACCTTTAATAGTCGCAAAGACTAATCCATCCATTCATGGTATGTTTGTTGCAAATCAACATGGCTGTGATGTTTATTTACATGGACAACGTCAATTACGCCCAAGAAAACGAGTTGAAACATGGGTTGATGAACAAGTAAATGAACAATCTTACTTACATGGTTTAAGAGATTGTGTTGTTCCATTCATGAAAGCAACTAATTCAAAAATTTTGATGTCAGATTGTGTAAATTTGAATCATACATTAAAAATTCAACAGTTTTTATCTAAAAACGAAATAGAATTGTATGGAAGCGCTGGATACCATCATCAGGTTGAAGGCGGTTATCCACCGTATTCTCACGATTGTTCTATATTGGATTCATCAATGTTTGGAACCTTTCAATCGCAAATTGCTGATGAAATTGCAAAAAATACACATTTGGTTGATTCTGATGATGTTTTGATTCATATGAGTAAAATAGTTCCCCAAATTTGGAAATCAGATAAATACAAAATTATTGCAAAAAATCACATTGCTGGATATGCAAAACGATTGCAAACAATAATCGACAATGGCGGTGATATAATTGGCAAATATAAGTAACTTTTTTGTTTATAATTTGTCTATATGTAAATATTTATAATTCGTATATATCCAAAAAAATAAAAATGTACATATGTAAAGAAAAATAAAACTATACATATGTAAAAAGATAAAATGTATGTGCTTGTTTGAGACTTCATTGTATGTCATTTGAAAGAGCAAATGATGCTCTTTAAAATGCGCAAGTTTGCGCGTATTTCATGTG